ATATACAATTTTGGCACTTCTTTACTATTGGAAATAATTTAAGCTACTTTTCACCCTCAAAACATAATTAATTGAACCCGACCTTATTCTCCGGCCATAATTTCCATTGTTGACCAATTTTTTTGATTGTTAACATAGTCATTTTTGTCGAAAATACATTTGCATTTTGCACCCCGAATAAAAAAAATTAAATAGACAAAAATGACCACGTTAACGATCATAAAATAAGTCGACGACAGAAAATTATGACCGAAAAATAGAGTGGGGTGCACTTTGAAGCGATTAAACATATTTTGAGGGTGCAAAATTTCATAAATTATTTTTGACGGTGCAAAGTGCGAAAATTGTACATTTCAAGGGTGCAAGGTGAAATTAAGCCGAAATAGAATAAGATAAAAAGCAAAATGAGGCCGTATTTTATTTATGTTTTCCTTTTTAACCCCAAAACTTCCCACCTTCTACGAATATGCCCCTCCTTTTCGTTTATCAGTTATTCTCAAAAGCCCGATATTTTGGGCATTTAGGAGAAGTTGAGAAAAGATAAGCCCACAAAAATTGGGCTTATCCATCCCAACCAACCCACCATAATAATATCTAAAAATCGAATATAAAAAAGTCAAAAATATAATAATAATAATACCATCATTATCCATCAACACTGTCACGTGACTCGCACGTTGTAGATTTCATCCACCCTCTAAATTCTAAAATCTAAATCATTAGTCTCATTGAAAAATCCCGCCAATTTTATTTTTTTTCATGTGCTAAAAAGCATTGGCTATGAAATTGTGCCCTCAATAGCTAACAATCATGAAAAAAACGACCTATATAATTAAATTAAATAATATATATATATATATATATATATATATATATATATATATATACAAGTCTTCTACTGTGTTTACCAATTTGACCTTTATACTTTTTAGTGTGGGAGTCATAGTCAAAATGTAGCATGCGCTAAACAGATATGATTAATCAACTCGGTAAACTCATGCAAAAAGCTTTATATACCTGCAATTATGGCTAAAACAAAATCTTAAGATTTATTAATTTATTTATTTATTAATATGTATTATTGCTAAATTAATAAATGTGCATCAAAAGCTTAAAAGTGATGGCAACAATGAATTAATTGGTGGGATTTAGACCAGACATAGTTACGTTAATGATTTTATCACTGTCCCAATGATTCAATCATAGCTCTGCAATATAACTCAGAAATGCCAACTGGTGTATTTAATTAACATTTAATACTTTAAATTATGATTAATTGTAATAAATGGCCATGCATGCTTAATTATAATTAATTCCCTGCATGTGTCAATCACCGTCCATAATTAAATATGTCACTCCAAAATATCAATATTGCTAATTAATTAAAAATAAATAAAAAATCACTCGTATTACTCCTATATTCTATTTTTTTTTTATTGCAGCAGAGAAAAAATTGTGACACAATAAATATATGTAAACTATTTATGTAGCTTATTCCTTGAGTAAAATAAAATTATCCCACGTATGAGTTGATAGTAAAAAACTTTCTTGAGCTTTCATGTATTGAATCTCCAACATATTCACAATTCTAATATATACAATCTTTTATCGACTTAATTGCTTTCAAGTATTGAATTAATTATCCCTAAACGATATCGACAGGACATTTTTAACACCAAAAACTCTCAAGTAAATTTTGAATCTTTGACAT